AACAGATCCAGTGGGTAATTAATAAATATTTGCAAGTTAGGATCCACAGACGGTGGTGGTTGACTGTGGGATGAGGGAGAGGGAGGTTTCAGACTTGACTAACGAGATCAGTACTTTCACCATTCCCCAAGGTCAAGAACATTCCCTTACCATGAAATAAGACACATGAAAATGCTTTGTAAACTGTAAAGTACAATATAAATATTAGTACTCTTGATTTTAATAGGGGCAGAAATGACTATCTTAAAGAAGTTCTCACCAGCTGGAAAAATAGACCTGCAATTCTTTAATTATAATAATGATGATACCTACTACTAATGAGACTAACTATAATTGAATAACAAAAGTGCTTTTATGTGCCAAGCACTGTTGTAAGAGTGGTACATACATAATAACTTATTTAAATCTCACAACATGTTGTGAAAGGCATAGAGTGGTTGCCTAAAGTCTCATAGTTTGTAATAGTGCAGCTGAGAAGCAAACCAAAGGCCATCTGGCTGCAAAAGCTGTACTTTGAACTACAGTAGTATATTATACAGTATAATCTGTTTCTGAGAGATAGCCTAAAATCAGTGTTACAAAAAAAGTACAAGCAAAATTCTGCATGTAGATAGGAAACAGAGAAAGGTGAAACTGATAAAATCCAGAGTGTAGCAGTAGGAAGAAGCATTTTTGCTTTCTAGAAAAGTATTTCATTGTTGAGCGCAGACCCATGCTCAATTAAGACCCACAGAGTTGTTGTTTAGCTGCTAAACTGTGTCTGAGACCCCATGGACTATAGCCTGCCAGGCTCCTCTGTCCATGGGATCTTCCAGGCAAGAATACTGGAGTGGGCTGGCATTTCCTTCCAGGAAATGGGCATCTTTCTGGCCCAGAAATCGAACCCAAGCCTCCTGCATTGGCAGGCAGATTCTTTATCACTGAGCCACCGGCGAAGCCCATTAAGACCCTCAGAGAACTTGTCTCCAATTAGCCTACAGAATTGTAATGTTCTAGTATTGTCACTAGATGGTGCTCGTGCCATGGTTCTGAATATCTGGCCTTGTTCCTGTGGGATATTGCCCTCTCTAGTGGTTTGGGCAACTAACAACTACATCAGTTTTTATAACCAATCAAGTATTTTGTTACATTCATGCCCTTTTCTTATCCATATATCAAATTATGATTTTAAACATTTGGACTAATTTTATAAATTATCTGGCTGTACTCAAATAGAAGTTTTTTCTTTGTTTTCTTATCTACAGATCATCTGATCATTTCTATAGCAGTTACTGTCTGACACACAGCATTAGCTTTTACAGTTCAGATTCTTCAAGGGACCCAGTGCTCAGGATCTGAAAATTCATCCCTTGCCTCTGAATGTTCTACTCTCATAAATTTCAGAAGTTTCATAATACTAAAGTGATTTTAATGCGGGGCCCTCTCTGAATTTTTTAGTTCAATTCAGTTCAGTTCAGCCACTCAGTCATGTCCGACTCTGAGACCCCATGGAGTGCAGCACACCAGGCCTCTCTGTTCATCACCAGCTCCTGGAGTTGACTCAAACTCATGTCATTGAGTTGATGATGCTATCCAACCGTCTCATCCTCTGTCGTCCCCTTCTCCTCCCACCCTCAATCTTTCCCAGCATCAGGGTCTTTTCAAATGAGTCAGTTCTTTGCATCAGATGGCCAAAGTATTGGAGTTTCAGCTTCAGCATCAGTCCTTCCAATGGACACCCAGGACTGATCCCCTTTAGGATGGACTGGTTGGATCTCCTTGCTGTCCAAGGGACTCTCAAGAGTCTTCTCCAATGCCACAGTTCAAAAGCATCAATTCTTAGGTGCTCAGTTTTCTTTATGGTCTAACTCTCACAACCATACATGACTACTGGAAAAACCATAGCTTTGACTAGACTTACCTTTGTTAGCAAAGTAATGTCTCTGGTTTTTAATATGCTGTCTATGTTGGTCATAACTTTTCTTCCAAGGAGCAAGCATCTTTTAATTTCATGGCTGCAGTCACCATCTGCAGTGATTTTGGAGCTCAAAAAAAATGAAGCCTGCCACTATTTCCATTCTTTCCACATCTATTTGCCATGAAGTGATGGGACCAGATGCCATGATCTTAATTTTCTGAATGTTGAGCCTGGGCTACCTGCTGTGGGTCCACACCTGAGCCCCACACCAGCTGAGCCCATGCTGGCCCAAGCCCCCGTGCGCTGCTGCCCAGGCTTTGCACTCACTCACTGTCTTCGCATTTTTTTAACTTCCCTTTAATCATTAGTTTGTAGCTCCCTATTCATGCAACAATATATCTGCTTTCGGCACTATTTATGTGTGAGATTTGCTCTTATTATTTAACTTCTGTTGGGAATTTAGATTCCAGAAATCCAGGAACCATAGTTGATCTACTTAAGTCTAACACTATCACTGTATTCCCAACTCACCCAGATGTCTTCTGAACAATATGAACTTCACAGCAGAAATCTGAACAAATAGTAGGCTATTTCACCCATCTGAAGTTCAAGTTCATCCCCCCAAAAAAGCTTGGGAAGGGGCAGTTCTTGTAACATCTCACCACCCTGCGTTTATTACAACTGCATGTCTCTTCACTCTTACTCTGTCTCTCGTTTTCGCTCCTCTCCAAGAATCCTGAGGTTCTTCATTCAGATCTCTCTATATACTCCCATCCATGCAGCCACTCTCTGCCATTGCTTCAGTGGTCCCCACTATTGTAAGTCAGTCCTAAGTCTCTAGCTCTAATCCCCATATTTTAGTCCTCCCACGTGCTCTTTCCACCAGGATATCAATGAGTAACTTAAAACTCAATGTGTGAGAAAGTGACACACCTCCACCAACTCCTCCTCACTTTTTTATTTCTACTCATGACTTCACTATTTTCCCAGGTATCTGTTCTAAAATTGAAAATAGTATTTCTGTATGAACCCTATCCAACGAATGCCAAGTCCTTGGCAACAAGTTCAGGGTCTCTTCCAGTTGTCTTTGCTTGTTTCTTCCTCTGCCTCACCAAAGTCTTCTCATCTGAGTGGCAGCAATGTCCTTCCAACCACTCTTCTTGGCTCTGGCCTCCCTCCTGTCTATCTCTCATGCCCACAGCATTTTGCTTTCTAAAGCACTTTTCTGTTCGCCTGTCTCACCGCGAACCTCGTTTCTTCTGCAGAGTTAAGCACCAACTCCACAGCCGTTGTTCACAATGTCCATAATATGAGAGTGGGGGACCTTCGAGCATTGTCCTCTGCAAATGTCTGTCATGTACTCAGCTCTGTCCTGACAACCACCAAGCATCTCCAGGTCCAGTATTTTCCCATTTCAGTGCCTCAATCTTGTATTGCTCTCATTAGAAGCATCTACCATCCCTACCTTTTAAAGCCTGTACTTCCAAATTCATCTCGAATACCACCTGTTCAATCAAGCCTTTCTTGCCTTGTCTGATCTGTAATTATCACGTCTCCTTTGTACCCCCATTAAGTATCAATTGTTTGATTTCTCATTCTGTATTTATATGAGTTATACTATCTACTTCAGTGTTTTGGATATTTTTTTGTCTCCTGTTTTAATTTGAGGGGATCACGAACTCTGTATAATTCAGTCAATCATGCATGGCCATCATAAAACAGGAAAACATAATGGTTAAAAGCACAGATTTTTGGAATCCAATAGTCTTAGTTCTTCCACTTATTAACTATGTGCTGGTTAAGCAATGGCTTACCTACTCTGAGCTTTGATATTATCTTTAAAATAGGTCTAAGATTAGCTGCTGCAAGTCTTCTCACAAGAGTTAAAGGAGGTTTCATGCAGGACCCGACAGATGGGGATCACTCAAAGAATGCTTAGTCCTGTCAATGTTCTTTTTATAGTCACTGTACAAAGCAGATGCACAGAAAGTTTCCAAGATGAAATTGAAGGGGGGCTTCTAGCTAAAGACCACAGTAGAAAGGAAAATATTGTACTAAATGAAACCCTAAAATAAAAACTCACACTAGAGAAGAGGTCCCCAAGGATACAGGTGTTATCCAAGCCTGGATCCCAAGGCCTCACCTGATGCCTGGTGCTGGGCGGGTGCTTAATAACCATTGGTTGCCCTCCCATAGCTAGCGAATAAATGCCGTATTTGTGCAGTGGTCGTGAATACAGAGCAGATGATTAGACAGTGAAGGAAACTCATTGTCCACCACCTTCTGCGCGATTCATGATTCACCCTGTGATAGCAAATTGGCCCGATTGTGTGTCTGCAGCTCAGGCCAGCATGTCCTCTAATGGTTTTAATGGAGATCTTGCTGCACGTGGATTTAAGATTTATCAAGGCCTGTGCCAGAGAGAGAAGTCTCTTCTGAAAACACACTTCTGAGTATTCCCAAGTACAGAATTTACATGGCTCAGCTCAAACAAATCTCTGGGACATGTGAGAGACAATGATATGATAATAGTAGGTTCAGTCCCTACACTCCCTTAAAAGCTTTTCCTTGGGTACTTTAAGAAAAAAGTTATATTAAAAACAAAAGTAATGGGATTCCCAGACAGAAATCTGTGTTTAAATGGCATTAAGGCTGTGGTTCAAATCAACAAAAGCCAGGAAATCCAAAGTTAACCTTTATCCAGACTGTTAGGCCATTTTTTCCAGCTGTGTGTGTGCCTGTGAGCAGCCCTCCCTTTGAATTTCCTGGCTCTGGCGACCAAAATCCACAAATCGCTTTGAATTACAGTTCTCCGGGTCTGCTATTTAATGAGAATATACCCTGAAGATATAAACTTACTTGCAAGTGTTTTTATGTGTCGCCACTGTAAATCTAGGAGCTATGAACCTGGTGGGTTTTTCTTTTTTCTTTCAAGTTCCTAAAATTCCCATCTCTGCCTACATCAGTCCTGCCTTATATCAAGGTAGAATGACTTGTCTAACATTCGTGTTGCTCACACCAGTGAAGTTTAATGACAGTTTCTGTGTCATAGTTATAATGCAAATACATTTTAAAGTATTTTTTTCTCCTCTCTTTTCACCAGACATGGCGATGACTTGATTGTAACACCTTTTGCCCAGGTATGTATCATGCTGGCCTGGCTCATTCTGACTCTGTCCCCGGGTATAGTTTCTAAGAGTGGCCTGTGAACCTACCTATCCCTCTCCTTTTGTTCCTAACCACTGCTAACTGTGGAAATATTTTCCTTTTAGGTCCTCGCCAGCTTGCGAAGTGTGAGAAACAACTTCACTCTGCTGACAAACCTCCATGGAACATCCAATAAGTAAGCACACACGTTTGTGAAGTTATGAATCCCTTCCAAAAGGTGAAACACTGAATATCGCTAACACACACACAAACACACAACTTAACACTAATGAATGGAAATTTGGCCTCCTAGCTAGGTTAGGATACATGATAAAATTTGAAAGTAGAATGGATCACCATAATATTTTAGAACTGGTATCACTTCATGGCAAATAGATGGCGAAACAGTGGAAACAGTGGCTGACTATTTTTCTGGGCTCCAAAATCACTGCAGATGGTGATTGCAGCCATGAAATTAAAAGACGCTTACTCCTTAGAGGGAAAGTTATGACCAACCTAGACAGCATATTGAAAAGCAGAGACATTATTTTGTCAACAAAGGTCCGTCTAGTCAAGGCTATGGTTTTTCCAGTAGTCATGTATGGATGTGAGAGTTGTACTATAAAGAAAGCTGAGCACCAGAGAATTGATGCTTTTGAACTGTGGTGTTGGAGAAGACTCTTGAGAGTCCCTTGGACTGCAAGGAGATCCAACCAGTCCATCCTAAAGGAGATCAGTCCTGGGTGTTCATTGGAAGGACTGATGCTGAAGCTGAAACTCCAATACTTTGGCCATCTGATGCAAAGAACTGACTCATTTGAAAAGACCCTGATGCTGGGAAAGATTGAGGGCAGGAGGAGAAGGAGATGACATAGGATGAGATGGCTGAATGGCATCACCGACTCAATGGACACAGGTTTGGGTGAATTCCAGGAGTTGGTGATGGACAGGGAGGCCTGGTGTGCTGTAGTTCATGGGGTTGCAAAGAGTCGGACACGACTGAGCAACTGAATTGAACTGAAGACGTTAGAAATTAGTCCAGATCTTATTAATCTTTGTATCTTTAACACTTAGTAGACAAGAGTTTAACAAATGAAAGGATGAGATTTTTTTTTCCTTTTTCCTTTTGTATTTACTGCTCGAAAATATGAATACTCATCAGTAAAGACCACAAATTCTATTAAAATTCTTTTGGACTAAGCTATTAATGAGTTCAGACATGCAAACTTAAGATTAAAAGTAACAAAAGCTCAGGTCCAAGTTGCCTTCGTTTTGGTAATATATAAACAGATGCATGCAATTTGATGAGTAAGAGTAGCATTATCCTCTCTTCTGTCCTTAAGAAGCTACATAAACTTGGCCATTTCAACTAACATGGCTGAACTGTGGTCTCCTTATCTGTTAAATGAAAGGTTTGAACTGATCATACTGCAGTAGCTTTCTCCTCCAAAATCATTTCAATCTGTGGGTCTAAGTGCTGTGTAGTGCACTATCCAGCCATTTAACAATCATCGCAGAAATCAGAAGGTCATAGAACCAAACTTCCCTGGTGTTTCAGTGGATAGAGTCTGCCTACCAATGCAGGGGACACAAGTTCGATCCCTGATCCAGGAAGATTTTACGTGCTGTGGAGCAAATGAATTCCGTTCATAACAACTACTGAACCCATGTGCCGCAACTACTGAAGCCTGTGGGCCTAGAACCTGTGCTCTGCCACCAAAGAAGCCGCCGTAATGAGAAGCCTGCAGACCTCAAGAAAGAATAGCAATGAAGTGTAGCCCCTGCTCACGGCAACTAGAGAAATTCGTGTGCAGCAAGGAAGACCTAGCACAACCAAAAATAAATAATTTTTTTTTTTTTTTTTAAAAAGGAGATCATAGAACTCGTGATCCTGGAATGGTAGGGCCAGAGGAGAACTTTGACACCATTGATTCAGCAGCTTTGTTTTACAGAAGGAGAAATCAGGCCCTCAGAAATCCAGCAAGTTGCTAACAACCACATCATAGGCTAAAGACACACCAGGACAAAACCCTGAATCTCCTGATTTTTCTAAGCTAGTGTTCACCCTGTAGGAAATCCTGTCTCTCCAGTCTTTCTGAAATTATTCTTCAACTGTCTATTTCTTTTATCTAAATTTTTATTGAATGGAGCTATTAAAAGTAAGAGTAGACCCTACTTTGAAAGCTAACTTTTCCTTTCACTGTTCTATCATTTTTCACGGGGGCTTCCTGTGAGATGGTCCTGCATATTCCTATGGAGTTTTCCCCATCATCAGTTTCTCCTCCTCTAAGTTATTCTCTGAAGTGCCACCATAAGAATCTTTTTCACTACTGTGTGACTGTGTCACTTTCCAGCTTCAGTGGTTCACTGTCTAATCATTAAGATGAATGCAGGTGCTTGGCCCCAAGGTGTCTTGTGATCTAACTCAAGCTAGTTAGATTGATAGCTGATTGAGTTTATATTGGATGCAGTATACAGGAAAGCTAGAAGCTTTCCCAACCTCATTTGCAGTGGTGAACTGAGTGAAAGGCACTCGATCATCTCTGACTCTTTGTGACCCCATGGACTATACAGTCCATGGAATTCTCCAGGCCAGAATACTGGAGTGGGTAGCCTTTCCCTTCTCCAGAGGATCTTACCAACCCAGGGATAGAACCCAGGTCTCCAGATTCTTTACTAGCTGAGCCACAAGGAAAGCCCTCATTTGCAGAGGTGCTCTGTGTTTATTATTAAATAATTATCTCAACAAGAATTTATTTAGATACTATTCATCCACGCATTTTTGTGTGTACTTAACAAATATGTATTGAGTACCATCTTGTACCAGGCACTAGTGCTATAATAGTGACCAGAACATACAAGTTTTCTCCCCTTTTCAGGATTTTCATTCTAATGGGATGTGCCCAGAGGTACAGAGGTGTACGATCAGACCAGGAGTCTGGCCACATGATATCACATTCTAACAACTGCGTCATGTTTGTTCCCTGCATGTTCTGTTCTGTATCCTAATCATGGACTTACTGTTCTCACTTCCTAAAGTGTCTCTCACCACCTTTCATTGATTGTTCCACTGAATCTTGCTTGTCCTTTATAACACACCTGTGTGTCACCTTCACCAGGATGCTTCCCCTGACCCTGTCAAGCCTGGCTGAACACCCTCCAGTGGCCTCAGAACACTCTGCAAATCATGTATGGATCTTTGCCACCACTACTGCTAGACCGTGTGTCTTGTAAGGACCCTTGAAAATTACATTTACTTTTCCTTGACTCTCTAAGAATTAGCAGAACACCTGACAAATAGTGTTTGCTCCATAAGTATTCATCATTAATTCTCTGAATTAATAATTGTTAGAGAAATGTTTAGAAAATTACTTTTTCAAAAGTGATCCTTTCTGTTTCCTCACTTTTTTTTCTTTACAGAATATGGCTTCTGGGGCCTTATTTATCACTTCCTAACTCAATTCTACCTATTGAAAATTATGTGACTTGGGGAAATTATTTCACCTCTCTGGAGCTCAGTTTCCCAGTCTGTAAACAGCATTGTTATGAGAATGAAATTTGTTGATATTTGTAAAGCATTTATAACAACTTATAGCACATGGTAAGTGCTCAATAAATGTGACTTATTGTAAGTGATGGTTACATTTCTGTTGCTGAAGCCGGAAATAGTGTGACACTTTGGAGTTTTCACGTCCATTATCTCAGTTATCATCACCGTAAATAAGATTTGTGATGTGACAGGCGTGTTGCCTCTGCTCAATGGACAAGGAGCCAGAGCTCAGGGAAATCAAATGCTTAGTGCAAAAACAGCTCACTTCTGGGGCCATGCCAAACCAGTGTTGGAGACTGGCTTCCTAATTCTTGCTCTGCTCTTTTGTAAGGAAAACGCAGTTTTTTCCTTCCTATGTAGTGAGAAGCCTAGTTCTTCCCGCCTGGGTTTTGTCTTCCTGTGAATCTTCTTTACTCTCCACACAAAACACTTCACTTCTGACGCGTCTGGTCACCAATCCATGGAGATTTCCCCCCACAATTACAAGCAAATGTTGGACACCAACTGGATGTCTGAAAGTTTAATTCAATCCCAACACTGTCTGCATGGAGATAGCATCAGATCCCACAGGTTAAGGGCTCAGTCCCACAAGATTGCACACTGCCTTCCTCCCCACTTTTCAGACACTAGTCACAAGCTCAGATTATCATCTGTGCTTCTTATTGCACCAGCTATAGATTCTAATGAATCTGTATCTATTCTATTTCAACCTGTATCTATATCTAATTTATTCTAACGCGCACCTCCCCCAGGCCTCATTAATTTGCCTGAGCTGCTCACAGAATCTAAGGAAACACTTACATATGTTTACCAGTTTATTAAAGGATATGATAGAGGATACAGGTCAACGGCCTGATGAAAAGATAACACAGGTCCAAGCCCAGGAGTGTCCTGAGCACAGGAGTGTCTATCCTCATGGAGCTGGGGTGTATCACCCTCCTGGTGTGGATGTGTTTGCCAGCTTGGAAGCTCTCTGATACCTGTATTATTAGGATTTGAAGGAGGTTTCTTCACATAGTCATGATCAATTATTAACTCCGTTCCCAGCCCTTCTCTCCTTTCTGGAGGATGAGGGATATGGCTGAAAATTCTAAGCTTCTACTCATGTCTCAGTATTTCAGGTGACCACTCCCATCCAGTCACCAGGATGCAGAGTCACCTCTTTAGAGCAAAAGATGCTCCCAGTGCTCTTCTTGCTTAGGAAATACAGGAGTTTTGGGAGCTCTGTATCAGGAAGCAAGGCAGAGACCTATATATATATATATTTTATTATCTCACATCTTTCCATTTACTACATCTATTCATTCTTCTGCATTATGGGATGAAATTTCTGAAGGTTTTGGGACAGAGTCATTTAAGAACTTATGGAATAGCTGAAGGTCAGAGAGCCTGAGGCAGAGACATGAGCTGGGAGAGGGTTTCAAGAATTAAAATATGAAGAGTGAAACCCTGAACCAAGATGATGGAGGTGGGAATTGGGGAAGAAGTGGTGAATAAAGGTACATTCCAAAGGCTTCTTTAGTATAGCAGGACCCCAAACCACCACACTGCACAGCTCCAGGGAGAAGAGGTGTGGGGGGGTGATGTGATGGAATGTTTTCAGTTACTGTTTTCTTAGCATGGGCTTGGAGGTCTTTCCTCTTTGA